TCTCTCAGAGTTAGCAATGGTAAGAAGAACCAAAGTTCTACACAGTGGTGAAAAAGGTGTCAACACAGGTAAGAGTAGTGAAGGTATGGACAGAGGAGGCAATTGAACAGCTGAGAGACTGTTTTAACACCACAGACTGGGACATCCTCTGTAGTCGTCATGGTGAGGACATGGATGGCCTCACACACTGTATTTCGGATTACATAAATTTCTGTGTGGAAAATACGGTGCCATCCAGAAGAGTACGGTGTTTTCCCAACAACAAGCCATGGGTGAGCCCCGAGTTAAAGGCACTGCTGAATGAGAAGAAGAAGTTTTTCTTATCAAGGGACAAGGAGAAGCTGAGCAGGGTGCAGCGAGAATTAAAGTACATGATCTGGAGGTGCACTGCTAGCTACAGGAAGAAGCTAGAGCAGAAAAGAACAATGTACGCGAGGTGTGGAAAGGACTGAAACACATTTTAGGTCACGGAGATGGTAGCAGGGATGGTCACCAGGCCGCAGGAGACCAGGCCTGGGCAAATGAACTGAATCTGTTTTTTAACGCCCCAGCCCTTACCCCCAACCCTGCCAGCCCCCCCCGTCTCACCTCTCCAGGTCAGTTGTCTCCTTGCAGCTGCAGCTGCTTACACCTCAGCCAGACCTTGCCCCTCCTCCCACTGTCATGGGGGGTTCTCAACAGCCCACAGCTCCTGAGCAGTCACCGCCCACCCGTTCCCTCAGCCTCATGGTGGACCAGGTCAGGAGGGAGTTAAGGAGGGTTAAGGCCAGGAAGGCCACAGGCCCTGACCACATCAGCCCCAAGGTCCTCAGGGAGTGTGCAGACCAGCTCAGTGAAGTGGTCCTATAAATGTTTAACCTGAGTCTTAGCCTGGAGAGAGTTCCGGTTCTGTGAAAGACATCCTGTGTTGTCCCAGTTCCTAAAATAACTCATCCCAAGGAGCCAAACCATTACAAACCCGTTGCCCTGACCTTCCACCTGATGAAGACCATGGAGAGGTTTGTCCTCGGCCACCTCCATGCCCAAGTGAGCTCAGCACTGGACCCGCTGCAGTTTGCATATCGACCTGGCATCGGGGTAGACGACGGTTTTATCTACATGCTGCATCGAGCCCTATCTCACCTGGAGTCCCCCGGAAGTATTGTGAGGGTCACCTTCTTTGACTTCTCCAGTGCTTTCAACACAATCCAGCTATTGTTGGATGTGTATCTGTGGGGGAGGATGGGGAAAACAGGGGGGTTGTTACTGACTTTGTGGAGTGGTGTGAGAAAATTCACCTGGTCCTGAACACCAGCAAAACAAAAGAGATGGTGATTGACCCCTGGCGGAAATCACCAGTACTCACGCCAGTGAGCTTGCAGGGCTCAGATATAGAGACTGTGGACACCTTTAAATACCTGGGTGTCCACCTCAACAATAATTTGGATTGGACCAACAACACAGATGTCCTGTACAGGAAGGTCCACTTGTTGAGGAGACTGAGGTCCTTTGGTGTGTGCGGGGCACTCCTTCGGACATTTTATGATTTTGTGGTGGCTTCTGCGGTTTTTTACACTGTTGTGGGTTGGGCAGGAGGTAGCACAGTCAGGGACAGGAAGAGACTCAACAAGCTGGTTAAGAGAGCTGGTTCTGTCCTGGACTGCTCTCTGGATTCCATCGAGGAGGTGGCGGACAAAAGGATGCTGGTAAAACTAACATCCATCATGCATAACCCCTCCCATCCCCTGCACCACACAGTAGAAGCACAAGAATGTTACATCCCCAGTGTAAGAAGGAACGTTACTGCAGGTCATTCCTCCCCACAGCCATCAGACTGTACAACACATCACTGCAGTAATAAGATAGGTGAAATTATGAGGGACTATGCAATAGTCGACTGAGGTGCAATATTCAGCTCCTGGGGGTGAAATGCATTGTAAATAGGCTCATGTGTAATATCTTGCTCCTGATCTCTCTCAAATACTGTACATTGCCCTGCTTTAGGTATTTTTGAGTAGTTGCTCAGAGATCCTTATGGCTGAAACACAGGTTTCTTTCCCCCATTGTGGGATTAACTGTGTGAGTAATATTCAATTGTTCTTGATTTCCTGGTTGTTTTCTTGATACCTCTAAATACTATTCTTTTTTGTCTTGTCCCTATGTATCTTTTTTGACTTGTGTCTCAGGGACAAACTATGGAAGGTCTATTCTTGTTCTTGATTGTCTCTAAAATACTATATTTTTGTTTGGTTTTTCGGGTACCTGGATCTTGTTTTCTCAAAATATGTGTGGGGTGTTTATTCTTATGGTGTCATGTTGTTTTGTCCTTTACTACTGCTGGAACACTGGAATTTCCCCACTGTGGGATCAGTAAAGTTCTACCTACCTACCTACCAAACCAAGCTGAATTTTAAATTTGACTGTCGCATAAATAATGTTATTTTAATGTGCATGTGGCTCACATTTCAGTTAAATGTGTACATGTGGCAGTTTAGGACCTCAGCGGTGTTCGCACACTCAAATACATGTCATGTACAAACATAAATGGAAAACATCAACATAAAAAGATGACAAAAAATGGAAATGGCCTGTAATGTGAGAGGAGACTGTATCAGCTAACATGGCTATTTCTGCTTCCAGCAAAGTACCTCTGTGTAATATACTATCATTATACCTGTTGCATCTTCGTGCAGTAATAGCATTCATCAGGCTGCTAAAACAACACTGTAAAGACATATGACTAATGTAGTAATGATAACATCAATCATACACATAGGTTCTCAGCTTTATCTGGGTGCAAGGCTCTGCCAACATTTATAGTGGGGGGTCAGTGGTTACTGAAGTGAACAATGAGTCATACAGATGTGCAAAACTGCACTGAACAAAACCAAAAAAAATTCTAAAAATGAAAGACAGTGAGCCTTCAAATGAATATAGTGAAGAAAGAAAAAAGGCTGTTTATAAACGCACCTTCTCAAAAACAATATATCAGGTCCCAAACCTTACCTTGAACCTTTTTCTTGGCATTACTGAGTATCTGTTCTGTTGACCTGTAGCTACATTAGAGGACTTTGTTAGTCTTTGCACATAGGCTCTAATTGATATTTGATGGATGCTGAGATTGTACCTTGGTCTCAGAATAGAATAGTGACAACTGCAACAGCAACTCTCTGATCCTCAGCTCTCACATAGGCAGGACATACCACAGACCTATAGCAAAGCTAAGACAGCAGCAGTGATTCAGTTACAAATAGAGCAAGACTGAGAGAAAGAGACATGAAAAAGTGAAGGGATAAGGACTGAGAGATGGGAATCAGAAGGAAAGCGAGAGAGACATCGGCGAGGACACTGCTGATTAGAAAGAGAGACGCTGTTTCTCTCCCACTTCATTTTTTGGGATGGAGGGTGCACTAACCTGTAAAGGGCCACCGGCTGGCATGGTGGATCTCAGCGATGTCAGGTCTATGTCTCGGCCCTGATCGCCTCTCTCTGTCTTCCCAAGTCCCTGCATAATTTGGCCTGTTGTAAGCAAGCAAGCACATGCACACACTTACGCAGCAAGTGTTGCCCCGACAGCAGTGAACAAGCTAATGCACGAGTGGCAGTGATCGTTATGAAAGGAAATTACACTGAATGCAAAGCACCAAGCACCAGACAAGGACAGGGAGGACAGCGAAGGGACAAACAAATGGTTTATTCTCCCTGTCCTGGTTCCCCGCCTCCCGTTTTCTCACTTTGCACCCATTTTCTTTCGCCCTCTCTACCAGATCTAGGTTGTAAGAAAGCCAGAATAGCAAATGAAGCACCATATTTAAACCAGGCAAATATTGTCGAAGTGTGTCTAAGAGTGTTGCCATATTTAAAATTAGTCTGTATAGGAATAACTAGACCATGGCAAACTAATAAAGGCCAGTGCACACTGATTTGTGTCTACTTCTGCTTGTTTGCTCAACAAAAACATTCTTCTGTAGTTCTGGTGCTATAAGTGAGGTCAGACATGTTCCCATTAAGGCACTGAGGCTCCAGTGTTAGGAGTTTAAAGCTTTCCAACCGGGGTCCCTGGGCCCTGTTACAGGGGCCTGAAGATACCATGTACATGGGATACAAGCTTGGTAGTATTTGGAGTGTTACAGAGTGTTGTCTCAAAACCTGAACCAACAATGCCAGAACTATCTGCTGGTTACATAAGCACTAGATTTTCTTTTGCCGTTTGCAGAGAAAGGTTATCAAGCCAATGAAATGTCTCAGAAATATTTATTAAGATGACTGAAGTTAAGCTAAAATTAAGTTTGTTATCTTAATATTAACAACTCTAACCTACATACCAGACCAAGTGAGGCTGGCTCAGCAAAACCCCTTCATGTAAAAAACAGTTATACAAAAATATATCAGTAACTGATATTCTGCTGGTTGTTGTGGGGATGTAAATCTGTCTACACAGTCACATTGTGAGGACTCGACAAAAAGCAAGTGCCCAAGTCTCCAGGAAATAAATGTAAAAATGTACTGCAGAAGAAAATAAATAACAAATAATAGCCATCAGTGTGGGGCTAGAAGAAAGAAATGTCTTTAAATGAAAATAAATGATTATTAAATTCTGAGGTTGAATGGCATTTTGTAAAACTGAAGTGACAACAGAGGAATGTACTGTTGTTGACTTTAAGGACAGAGACTGGAGGAAAACAGGGGAGACAAACAGCCAGAAGGAAAACAGAACCACAGTCAGCATGACTGAAAAATCTCTGCAGTGGACTCACAAACAACACCTCAAGTAAATGTACAAATAATACACATTTGTACTGTACATGAGTTTTTTGTTTCTCATATAGCACACACACATCAGGTCACCAACAATGGATAGCAAACATGCAAAAAATGTTATTAAAAATACAGCTTATACTCAAACACATGAGGTTTCCTGTGAGTGGGGATTGAGATAGTTGTCAACAATGACTTAAACACACTGCTGCAACCTGATAATCCTCACAAAATGATCACCTGAAGTTTAGGAACACACATATTTTCATTTTGGGATGATAAAAATCATTTCATTCTTCTGTCATTCTGTAGCACTCATATATTACTTTCTGTCCTGTGGCCTTCTATAGTCATTAACTGTTGACACAATTGAAGAACACTGTAATTAATTTTCTGAAGCAGATTGTATAACTTAGGTAATATCCATCAGCCCTGACAGCCTGTTGGAGTGCTCTCCACTTTAATATATTTTTAAAAACACTTGAACACAACAGCTATAGTAAGGCAAAGCACACGTGTATAACAGTATGCATTATGAATGTAAATTGCAGTTGAATTTTTAAAAATATTTTCAATACAGAGAAGCTGCTTATTGAAAATATGTATAGAGTTATTGTGTGTTATTTATTTGGGACACAGCTTAAGAGACTAAGCTGTTGTCAGACTTCAGAGCATAAACATCTGCCCTTTCATTTTTTTTCTTTCTTGATACATGTGCAATATAAGGATTTCAGAAACTCTTATAATATTAGCTCACACTACCTGAGGAGTTATTTTGTTTTTTCCAGAATTACACTTATGCCTTCTTCAGGGATTTGGGGCTTGTATAATATCTATTCAAAGGCACATGGTTGACTATTTGACTTGTCTGTATATTGTTGGACTATTTGGGGGAGGCGACAGTTGTGCGATGGGTAGAGCAGTCATCTCCCAACCAGAAGGTTGAAGGTTTGAATCTCGATGCTGGCGTGTTGAAGTGTCCTTGGGCAAGACACTCCACCCCCCCCCCCCCCCGTTGCCCCCAATGGTCAGAGCCATTGATTGAGGTGGCACCGCAGATGGCTGCCATCATTCTGTACCGGAAACAAATTCCTTGTGTGTAACATACTTGGCCAATAAAGGTGGTTATCCTTATCCTAACTTAAGACATAAATTCCAAGTTAATCCCAAAATGAGGGCTAAAAAACGAAGAGTTGCCCACAGTAATTGTTGTTGTAATTGCAATTGTTCCTGGAAACCTTCTCATTATTTAGTTCCTAGAAACAGAATATTTTTAGAAGATGGCAATTATGGTAATCACTGACTGTTCCCAGGTATTAGAAAGAATAACTGCTTACTCACTTGCCTTACAGAAATTAACAGTGTGATGTTTTTGACAGACACCGGGCTAATCCTGTGTAATTCTGCTATAGATACAATTGCTCTGGTTTGGGCATATCAATTTTCACAATTCATGAAGGGCATTCTTGGCTGTTTAGTGCTTATTTCTATGTATATGTGGAAGCTAAAACACAAGCTGTAAGACCTATAGCTGTAATTTTGTTTAATCTTCGGTAGCAGTTTTAAATAAGGGAGCAAAGCCTTCAGGGGTTTTTGTGAGGCCTCTGCCTTGATGTAGCAGTTTGGCTCGACTGTAAACAAAGTTGTGATATAATATTGGGATTTGTGTAATGAGAGAATCCTTCTAGGTGACCACATTTTAAACTACAGGCATGCCACTGGAGGTGAAGTTATCTTGCTTTTTAGAAATAGGTAAAAACATCTGATATTGTAATAGTAACTTAATTTAATAGCTCATTTAAAAAATCTTAATTTGCTCCAAGAGAAGATTTGACCTACTAGAACAACAAAAATCTGTACAATAACACATGACTAAGACACTCTGTGGTATGTCTCGCATATTTACGCAGTTTGCATATTTAATTACTAGACATATTCCTTGAAAGTACCTGGTTTCAGGAAAATATCAGCAATGTAACGTACAATTTAAATATGATGACTGGACTTCACACTGACTGAACGAGCCTTGAGAACAGACCTGGACTTTCTGCAATGGATTTAAAGTCAGCTTTGGCAATGCGTGACACTTTGTATAATGATACTGACTGGGACATACATAGTCCTCTGTCTGTCTTTGTCATTCTGCCTCTTTGCTGTGCTATCAGTCTTTGTCTCATTTATTTGCACTCTCATTTTGTCTCACTGACACGTACGCTTACAAAGACTGGGCTTCAGCAGTTGTGTACCAGGCAGAGCTGACCTCTTCCTTTCCCCTGTCCTCTCTGTCATACACACATACACATACAAACACACAGTAACCAGACAGTGCCAGTCTCTCATTCTGGCAATGATAAAAGCTCTTTTATGCTCCAAGAATTTTCATCATAGGGATGCGAACACATACACACACTGACTCAACAGGTACAACACTTCTGATCCCAGTTGATCAAACCAAGCTAAAAGCTTACACCCACAGATACTCACTTAGCAGATATAAACAAACACAACTGCACCCACATTCACATGCAAACACTACATGTGAGTACAGATCAAAGGGCTAGTTTGTGTCACTGACATGCAAGCAGGTGCATAATGCTTTCATGTTTCACCTGTTCAGTCAGAGTGTGTGCTGCAGTCTAGCATTTTCACTTTCCCAGTGTCTTTCCAGGACCCAACCATATTCTAACACAATTTTATATAATGCCAGCCACTAATGTTCAGCACACCATCCATTTTCTATACTGTTTAGTCCCAAATGGGGTCACGGAGCCAATCCCGGCCAGCTGCAGGGTACACCCTGGACAGGTCGCCAGTTCATCACAGGGCTCTCTCTCTCACAATCACACACACTCCTACGGGCAATATAGAGATGCCTATCAACCTATGCTGCATGTCTTTGGAAAGTGGGAGGAAGCCAGAGCACCAGGAGAGAACCCACACAAGCACGGGGAGAACATGCAAACTCCACACAGAAAGGCCCCAGGTCGGCCGGGGCTCAAACCCAGAACCATCTCGCTGTGAGGCAGCAGTGCTAACCACCGCGCCACCTTGCTGCCCGTCAGCAAACCAAATCATGTTTATTTAGCAGTGATCCCACCTCACTCATCATTGTTGCACTGCAACAAATGTTGTTTACAGTGCTAAACAACCTGCTTTTATCAGTTAAGCCAAAGGCTTTATTTTCCTGCAGGCACAATGCCAGCACAATTTTGTGCAATCTCCCTCCAGCACAAGTCTACATTTTTACATCTGCACTTTTTTTTCCTGGCACAAGATGAATGTGGTTGTGCTGTTGTGAGAGCTTAGTCTGTGTTTATGCTGATTAGGCAGTGTTGTGTAATTTTGATGTTCATTTTGGCACAAAATTGCTTTTATGTTAGAACCTGCTCGGACTACCACTTATCATGAAGCCAGATGCAGGGCAATTTCCACATCTTTACTTGGCAGAGGCACATGCACACAGACCTCTCACAAACCGACCTCCATTCCAATCTCCAAACCCTATTTACATCTGTGCCCCATTTCTGGAAAATAGAGCCTCAGAACTGTTACAATGCAAATTGGGTCAACTATTGATTCTTGACATTTACTGTGAGCGCGTGTCTCTGCTCTGGACCCCTGTGGCACACATTAAGGCCTTTTTATAAGGCGAGGACTATGGTTGCTGTAAATAAAATGTGAATGATTTACTGCAAGAGGGCTTTTAATAAAACAGGTTAAGACAGAGAGAGATGCTACAAACAAAATGATTCACACATGCACACACACAATACTTTGCTATCTAGAAAATAAAATTCTCCTTTATTCGTATAGTACATTTGTTGATAAAACTTTTTGTGCAACAATTTTAGCCTTACATAAAAGTGTTGGTTTTATTCCAATCATTAAAT